TTTTTTAACCTTCAGTAGCCGTATTTTAGTTATAGGAAAAGTCATTCTCAGCATGGTACATAATTCATACACATTTGGAATCACCATTATTCAACATATTTTGCTATTATAACTAGCAATTTATATTATTTTAATATAATATAAAATTATATTGTGAATTGTGGAATTTACTCATTTTACGTGCCTTTAATTAGTATTATTAAATAAGTATTTTTTTTCTATTTAGTAGCTCAACTTATTTCTTGATTTTGCCCTTTTGACTGGTAAATTCACTGACAAATATCTGTTGCTGGTTTTCAAATAGTATCATAATATGAAAGATTTTCTAACAGATATTTCATTAGGTAATGGGACATCTTTAGTAATGCCAAAAAGTAATATATGAGTAAAAAATATCAAGTGTTCATCAAATGTTAGAAATACCAGAATGATTAGAAAAGATTTACTCAGATATCATATGCTAAAAGAAAAAGATAAAAAACATTGGCTATTGAGAAAAATAGAATTAGTCTCAAGATTATTGAATAAATTGATTAGTTATTCCTTGTTTTATTTCCTATGCCTGTTAAATTAAGAAATGCATGGCCTGAACTTTTTCTTGTTACCTCGTTTACATTATATTTTTGTCCTTCCCGAACTCACCTTCTCCAGACTTTGGGTAGGTTATGGTCTTAAATCTAACCTCTGAAATCCACTTTTGTTGTGTGATGTTGGTTTTAAACCATGTCCTTGTTGCACCTGCTCCCCTTGCAATTGCCACTCAGCCTCTAACTGACCAGAAGGCTATCAACCAGACAGAAGCATTTGATGCAAATATTTGACAATCCATTAGCTAGAAAACTATTCCCTGTATAATTCAAAATTGATTGAAGTTTTTCCCTCATATATGAAATTGCTTTGTAGTTCCATTCATTTTTTTTTTTGCATTTCTCCTTTGTATAGCCTTGGAAAACATAGATCAGTGATGTAGCAGCAAAAGACATCATGATACCAAATAGAAAATGAGGACTTGGAAGGTGCTGTGGACCTCTTAATTTCCAGGCTACTTGATAGCAGATACAGTTCATTACACAGGAAAATTGCTTGATCTTGGGAAAAGAGAGTCCTGGAGGTGAGGGGAAATGAGTGAGTCACCAATACAGTTCACCTTGCAATTCAGTCATTTAGATATAACTAGGGAATGATTGCTGCCATGTTCCAGATAAAGAATGAAAGCATCTTTCTGCAATAAAATGGTGAACCATATATCCCCTGTGTTGAGATTCTGTAATAAAAAAAGTAAAGGAAAGAAGGAACTATCCTATGCATATTAATGCACAGTGACCAATTTTAATACAGAATGCACCATTTGTTGAGCCTTTTATAATCTACTATCACATGGTTTTATTTGAGCTTCATTTTAGCACTAATAGCTATTATTTCAATCTCATTTGTAGAAACAGATTTTGAGAACCTGCAGTGACATAGTTCATATAGTCTAGATGGACTCTCAAACCAAGATTATAACTATAACTCCCGTGTTTAAATATTATTGTACTCCTTTGATAAACAAAAATCATATCCAGGGCTGTGCCAAGACAAAATTCTAAAGCATAAAGAAAAGGTTAATATTCAGGAAAAGAATTATGAGCAGAACTATTTTAGTGAATGTTTTGTTACACGTTCAATACTTCTATAAATTTTCTCACAATGTACAAAATTTTGAATGGCAAAATTTTATATTCCCTCTTCTCTAGTTGAGCAGTTCCATAAACGCAGAACCTTCCCTCCTACTCCCGTGTTTTAGAAGATTCTTTTTCTCCCCACCCAAATCCTCCTCCGTCTGCCCCTTTATTCTTCATTGATTCCTCTAGTCTCTGAACACCCAACCCAAGTTTTTATCATCTTTATTTCATAATCATTTGTTCAGTGTCTTAACCCTCATGCTCTGTTATAAACTTTTTATAATAGAGAGCATGGCTAATATCTCTTGCTAGAGTAATGAGCATATCTGGAAAGTAAATATATTTTAATATATTTATGATAAATAAATATTATCCTGATTGGAAGCTAATATGGAAGGAGATCAAAATTTGTCTCAGAGTACTGAATACCTCAGAGTACCCAAACTTTAAATTACAAAAAACAAAAAAGCTGAAAAAAGTGATAGCCCATTTTAAATGATCCAAGAGATTAGCCCTCATATTTCAGTACCAGTACATATGGTATTACGATACCTGAGTTCTGAGAACCAAAAAAGAAAAGATTGCTTTTTGGAGCAAGCATCTTTTACATGAGTTTAAAGGAAAATAGCAGTCAAGAGTTGATAGGTATCCACCATCCAAAGCAGCTTGAATTCTGAATTAGAATTTTGTAGCTTTGGAGTAGAAAAGGATCTAGATTAGGTTGTCCATGAATGTTAGGGTACATGACAGTGTATCTTCAGGGTAATGAAGACAGAAGAGGTCAAAATGTATCTCCTAGAGTGAATACCTCAAGTGAAGAAAACTGAGAGTTGGGATAAAAATCTAATATTACCTTGTGTCTAGCATAACCCACAAACATAATAAAAAGATTATTTTTGAAACAATTTAAAAGTTCTTACATTTATATTACATATGAAGCTAAGAGGACAGAACTATAATAGTTCCTTCTGGACCACAATAAATTGTCAACCAGATACAAAATTAATAGTAGAACTCTTGGAGTACTGTGCCTTCAATATGCACATTTCAAATTAGCCAATACATGGCCAGTGGCTCAACTGGTTGGAGCGTCATCCTATAAACAGAAAGGTCACAGGTTTAAATACCAGTCAGAGCACAAATCTAGGTTGTGTGTTCAGTCCTTGGTCTGGGTGTGTGCAAAAGGCAACTGATCAATGTGTCTGTCTGTCTGTTTCTCTCAGCGATGTTTCTCTCCCTATTTTCCCCTCTCTAAGATCAATAATCATTTCCTTGTGTAAGGATAAATATATAAGTAAGCTGATAGAAAAAAAGAAATTGTAGAAATAGAAGAAGGGAAAGAAAGTTTTTTTTCTTGAAGATGTTGCAAGATTTAGTTGTTATGAAAGGAAATTTAAGCAGCAGGAGAGATCTCAGAAAGATGTATCACTCACAGTGTCATGGTAATTTGATTTTTCAGACTATCAGCAAAACAATGACTGCAGGGTAGGGAGAAATCTCAGAAGCCTAACGAAAATGTTTTCAAGAGGTATGCAGATACACACATATAAGATGTAGTGATAAAGGATTTTAAAGAGTAAAATTATATTTTAAAGAGTATTAACTGGATATCTGAAGAAAGCTGTAATTATCATAAAAGATAAGGATTTAGTCACACTATCCAAGAAGAAAAGTTAGAAAGAATGTAAAAAGGGTACAGGTAATAGTGAATTATCACAAAGAGACGTCCACAGAGAAAGAATACTTTTCAAAAGTCGCCCTAGTAATTAACAAAGACCTTAGAACAAAAGAAATCATAGCAAAATAGAGGATTATTTAAAGAATTCTGGATGTAGCCACCTACTGGTTTAAGACAATTACTATTGTTTCATTATCAGGAAGGTTATTATAGCAAACATTGCTGGATTGTTTGTAGAAAATTGGACAGAGCTGTGCACCTAAGAAAGATAAAAGCGAGATCAAATATTAAGCCAAAGATGTCAAACATGTTATTTAATTTTTAAAACCCAGCATGGAACCAAGGGAGAGAGCCTAGTCTTTCTAAAGAGGGACACATAAGAAGAATTCATTTGACAAATGTTTATCAATCTGTTTCTATGTGCTGGGCACTGTTCCAAATTCTTGGGATGCGTCAAGGAACCAGACAGACAAAAATTCCCACCTAACAAAACTTACATCCTAGTGGAATGAGACACATAAGAAGAGACAAATAAAATAAACAAATTATATAATCAGGAGAGGATTAAGTGCTATGAAGAAATAGAGCAGGGTAAGAGTGATTGTAGATGCAAAGGGATCATGGTTTCCCCCTTTAAGTCACAAAACAAAATTCCAGTGCTCTATATCTCCAAAAGAGGTGCGCCGGTGTATTGAGGAGGAAGTTGGTGGAGCTAGGTACATAGGATATGTCCAGTAAATAAATAATTGTTTGACTTTGCTCAATAACTCTTATTTTGTTCAAAGCAGTTGTTATAACAGAAAGTTGCAGAATTATCAGAAATTATGTGTAGTGTTTTATAAATGTATAATAAACAAAATCTGTGATGTCTCCCATTAATTGAATCTTGAACACCTGTTCTCCTTATTTACCTTTGTTTTTCATTTTCTTAGATACTATTTCACTACCATTTTAAAACAATTAAGCATATGTGCACTTTTAGTAAAAAAAATGCATCATTCCCATCAGTGTCAATGATGATATAATTAAATGTTCGCGTGTTTCAGAAAATTGGTATTACTTCTTCACCACAAATGAATATCACGGCTCATCTGTTTGCACAGGGATAGAGGAACGTGAAGGGATTTACTAACTTAAGGACAAGCGAGGGAACTTTGGCCCCATGTGTCTTTCGATGACCTCTTTTAGTTTCATACAATTATACTATCAATGACACTGAAGCCCATGTGTAGAAACTTCTACTTCCTTTTCTCAACTCTTGAAACATTAGAAATAAGAAAATAATGCACTATTATTAAACCACAATAATAATAATTCAAAGAGCTTTGGGCTGTTTCTCACTTAAAATATCATTTGATTTTAACATTACGATGTCAGAAAGATTGTTTGGAAGCTGAGGCACAGAAAGGTTATTTTACCGAGGTCACTAACCTTGTAGGGGTACGGGTGGAGGGCACAGTGTGTTGGGTGGAAGTGAATACTACACTGTTCTTTAAAAGACAAACATCTAAGTTAATTATGTGTAAGTGATTTTGTCTTGCTGTGAAAACTGGAAAAGTATTTATGAGTAGTATAGATTACGAAATATGGATTGGTAAATATTGTCTAGGTAAGTGATGGTAATTTGATGACTAAGCACCTTTCCTCTCACTTCACAGGTCTTGCTCCACTGCCCTTACCAGCAGCTCAGCTCACCCCATTCACCCTTACTTCTCATCTCAGGAAGGTAGGAACAGAACTGGTGTGATCTCCATTAAAGGAAGCAACCAAGTGTGTACAGGAATTTGAGCTGGCTGATTTTTAACGTTATGCTCACTTAGGATATGAACTAGAACTTTTAAAAAGAAACAAAATCTCTTATACAGTACTTCGTAATAATTCATGATTTTTAAAATTAAAAAATCTCAAATTGAATACTGTAAAAATTATTTCAAGTCAGTTTTTTTTTACTGCTTTGTATATAACTTATGGGTCAAGCCAAATTTTTAGAATTCAGAGATGTGAAATGTTCCAGTCTCAATGAACTGATGTTGTTACAGAAGTAGAATTGCTGAACTCTGGATCATTCTAGTCTTTTACTGTAATTAGAGAGTGTCTTGAATATTAACTGCCATGAGCTTTGCTTTGGGTCTCTCTTTCCAACTCAGACATTGAGCTGGCAAAATAATAAGCTATCACAATTTGTTTTATGAAACAGTGAGAATGAAAATATTACTATTCTTTAAATCTAAAGTTTTTTTCTTGCTATTTAAAATATTCTTAGAGGGATTTTTTGTGTGGGGTGTGCATTCTACTAAGGGATTGGTAAGCAAGTTTCATTGTGTATTAAATAATGGGATGAAATTTAACACTATCCAACAGGAATGGCCTAGCCCACTCTCAGGTGAAAAGTATTATGTTATTTATGGAGTGTCTCTAAAGATTGAAGAAACTTTCCTGGTAAAGAGAAATAACCTCATTTTGGATTTTTACAGGCTTATTAGGATATTCTTCCTTATTACTCAGATGGATTACTATTTTTGCCTATTTAGGTTTTATTTTGGTTTTCTTCTTAATTAGCAATAAGGCAAAGTGAGCCCCTCTACTTGTAAACTGAGTCCCAGAACCTCTCATCCACTCAAGAACTGAAATTATCTCCCTTCTTCTGCATCTTCTCTTTCAGTAATACAATATATTGTTAAGTTTGATGTTAGTTCACAGTCCTCGTATGCCTTGTGATAGCAAATCCTCACCATTGATCCTCTGTCTTCCTTGAAATACTTTCTGTGCTTGGCCTTGAGGACACCATGTATGTGTGGTTTGCCTTTTTCAAGCTACTCTTTCTCACTCTTACTTGTTCATCCTCCTCTCCCCAGTATCTACACACTAAGGGCCATGGATGTCTTTCCCTCTCTGTCAACATGCCTTCCCTAAGTGATTTTGTCCAGTTTCTTGGCTTAAATTTTCATGTTCATGCCAGTTACTCCCATAAATATGATCTCTAGCCTGGATCTAATCTGTGCACTCCACCCTAATTTGCCCCCTCTATTTGGGTGGCTCATAGACGTTACAAATTTAAACTGTCCCCAACTGAGCTTCTGGTGTTAATCCCTCTTCCCAAACTTGTTTCTTCTGCCATTTCAATCTCTTACTTCATACAATAGTAATTTCACCCTTCTAAAAGCTCAGGCCAAAATTTTGGAGGTAATCTTGATGCCCCTTTTCTTTAAACCCCATGTTCAAATTTTCACAAAATTTTTACGTTCTACTTTAAAAATACATCCAGAATTTGATCACTTTTCATCAGTTCCCTTGCTGATATCTGGGCCCTACCACCATTATAGCTCATGTGAACTACTGTAACTTCCCTCACTGGGTTCCCCTATTTCTTCCTTTGTTGCCCATCAGCCTATTTCAATCAAGCAGCCAGCATTATCCTGTTAAAACATAAGTCAGATCATGTCACATATCAAGTTAAATCAAGGTCTTTGCTCACACTTTCCAATGGCTTCCCCTTTGAATACATTAAAATCAGAGTCCTTACAGTGGTTTTCAAAGTCTACATGATCTTCTCACACCCACCTCTCCAATCTTACATCCTTCAGTCTGTTCTTCACTCTGTTCTGGCCACATCAGCCTTCTCTGTGTCCCTTGAATATGCCAGGCATGGTCCTGCCTTAAAGCAGGGGTTCGAACCAAGGTCTCAGTTTCCAAATTCTATTCCTAAATCTAAATAATTTAATAGGGACTCTCCAGAAGTCCTAATAAAAATATTCTCACAGAAACATAGTACCTAAATCATATACTAATTTTAATGCTCTTATTAAAAGGAATTCTAAAGTTTGTACTTTATTTTGTTTGTCTATTTCCTAAAGTCCGATACAATCATGAGATTAAAAAGAAAAAGATCTAACAGAGTTCTGTGATGTATGAAATATGCAGACTGTCTAAGCTAAAAGCATCTAGATACTATCAATACATGTTTATTTGTATCACTTAAGAGTTAGCATCTACAATGAACCCATGGGTGTGAGGCCCCATGTTAGAAGGATGTCATGGTGAATAAGAAAAACAGACAGAAGCAGAGACAGAAAAGGGGAGAGAAACTGGGGAAGGTATAGGTGATTTTGCAAAAGGAACTATAAGGTCGCTTGCTCTAAAAGGCAGTGTAATGTTCTATAAGTTGCCTTTCCATTTGTCTAGATAAATACTGCATGATCTCACGTGTATGTAGAATACAGAAGAAACTGAACTCACAGAAACAGAGATGAATGTGTTAACAAACTTTATTGTGATAATCATTTCACAATGTAAACGTACATCAAACCATCAAGTGTACGCCTTAAATTTGTATGGTGTTATTATGTCAAACCTGTCTCAACAAATCTGGAAAAGAGAGGGAAAACATATGAATGTCAAATAAACATAGGAATGCAAGTCTTATTCAACATTATAACATCAGTTAATGAATTTGTTGTATTAACAGATTAAAGAAGAAAGACTATAAGATGCTTTACTAGATGCAGAAAAAACATCTAATGCATACATTTATTCATGATTTTAAAAACCTCCTAAGACAGTAGAAATAGATGGATGTTCACTTAATTTAACAAAGAGTAGTATAAAAAAACACATCCAATATTGCTGAAATGATGAAAACTCTCTCACTAAGTCCTGGGTGAGATAATGATGCCCAATATCAAAATGTCCAATCAATAGCACAATGGGCAATAAAAAGACAAGAAATATACAAGGGTTGGAAAGTAACAAATAAAGGTTATTGTTCACAGATGATATAATTGGGTCAAAGAAAATAAAAAAGAATCTTCAGGTAAGTTTTTAGAATTAATAAGAGCATTAGCAATAAGATTGAGTCCACAATCAATATACAAAATCAATTGTATTTCTCTGTAGTAGCTATAACTTGAAAAAATTAAAGATACCATATATAATATTTTTTAAAAGTATCAAATGCCTAGGAGTAGGCAAATGCCTTAATAAAAGATGTAAACCTCTTTTATCAAATGCCTTAATAAAAGATATAAACCTCTACACATAAAACCATAAACATCATCAAAAACAGAACTTAATAAATATGTTCTCATTGGAAAGCTTGGTATTACAAAGATGTTAGTTCTTTCTAAATTCAATGAGTTTATGTAGTGAATATATTCAAAGAAACCAAATAAAAATTCCAACAGGTTTTATGAAAACTGATGAGCTCATTCTAAAATTTATATGGAAATGCAAAGGAGCAAGAATAGCAATGAGTCTTAACATAAAAAAAGAAGTATAGAGGACTTTATCAAATATTATGATTTAAAATAAAACAAAGTAATTAGTAGCATGAATTGGCAAAAGGATTGAGAAAAAGACCAATGGACCAGAAAAGAGATTTCAAATCTGATTCATATACATATGTGGACTCTTGCTTTATGACAGATGACATCTTTTCAATAAATGGTATTGAGTCCGTTGGTTACCAATGTAGTAAAGATGAAACTGGACCCTTCTTCATACCACACACAAAAATTCATTACAAGCAGATTGTAGATATAAATATGATGTGCTAAACATTAAATCTTCCAGAAAATAAAATAAGAGGATTACCTTCTGAGTATTAGGTGAGGCAAAGGTTTTTTAAACAGAAAAGAGCACTATCTAAATAGAAGATGATAAATTAGATTACATTAAAATTAAGAACTACAGGGAGCACTGGGGGGTGGGCTGGGATGGGAGGAAAAGACAGAAAACTGTACTTGAGCAACCATTAAGTAAAAAATTAATTAGTTAATTAATTAATTAATTAATTAAGAACTACAATTCAAATCATTCAGAGAGTAAAAATGAAAACCACAGAGTAGAAGACAACATTTGCAATCTGTATAACACAAAAAAATTTCATATCCAGAATATGTGAAGAACTCATGCAGATTAATATGAAAAAGATAGATAACCCAAAGAGAAGTGGGCAGTATTTGAAGGGACACTTCTCAAGGGAAGATATTCAAATGGCCAATAAATAAATGAAGAGATGGCAGTATTACTCTTCAGGGGAATTGAAATCAGAACCACAAAGAGATGTCACTTCACCTCCACCAGACTGACTAAAAAAGTCTGACCAATATTATGTGAGGACTATGTGGGACAATAGGTATTTCTCTAAGCATTATTTTTCTATTTATAAAAAAATCAGATAAGGTCAAGTTCAAGGAGTTCATCATCACCAAGTGCTTATTATATGAAATGTTAAAGGGACTTACCTAAGAAAAAGAAGATAAAAATATGAACAGTGAAACTCACAGTTATTAACAACCACACCTAAAACAAAAGCAAACTAAGAGGACAGCTAGATCAGGAGCAGAACCATAGAAATAGAGATCACATGGAGGGTTAGCAACAGGAGAGTGGGAGGAGAAGGGGGGAGAAAGTACAGAGAATAAGTAGCATAGATGGTAGGTAGAAAATATGCAGGGGGAGGGCAAGAATAGTATGGGAGATATAGAATCTAAAGAACTTGTGATACATGGACATAAACTAAAAGGGGAGGAATGATGGGGAAGGGGGTGTGCAGGGTGGAGGGGAATGAAGGGGGATGGGACAACTGTAATGGCATAATCAATAAAATATATTAAAAAAAAATCAAGCCCTGGTCAGTGGCTCGGTTGGTTGAAGCCTCATTCCTTGAAGGGTCATGACTTTGTTTTCTGGTCAGAGGACAACCTAGGTTCGGTTCCCAGTCAGAGCATGTGCGAGAGGCAACCAATCAATGTTTCTCACACTGATGTTTCTCTCCCTTCCTTCCCCTCTCTCTAAAAAAAAATAATAATAATAAAAATAAGCATGTACTCAAGTGAGAAAAAAATTTAATTCAAAAATAAATCAAACTGATCTATGGTGATGAAAATCAGAATATTGACTTACTGATTATCGTTGAGGTGAAGGGAGGATTAGAAATGGTGCAGGAACAAGAAGGGGATGTGGATCACCAGTAATATTCTATTTCTTGACCTAGGTGTTGGTTATAAAGGTGTTCACTTTGTGATATTTCATTGAGCTTATGATCTTCACTTTAATATATGTCTATTATACTTCACTAATTTAAAAAAATTTTAAATCCCCATTGCAACATAGCAATTCTTATTTATTAGGTACCATTTTTACCTATTTTGTCCATTGATTTGTTACAGCATCCTACAGTTGGGAAAGACATTATGTGAACTAGTAAATTTTTATTTTACATTCTTTGATTTAAATTTTTATTTATGGTTTACAGTTATAATAATTCTGTATTAATTTTAGGTGTGCAGTGTAGTTGTTAGACAATCATATACTTACTAAGTGTTCCCCCTGATATTCCCAGTACCCAATTGGCACTATACATATGATAATATTATTGACTATATTCCCTATGCTGTACTTTACATTCCTATAACTATTTTGTGACTACCAATCTGTATTTCTCAATCACCTTTTTCACCCAGTTTCCCAACCTCCCTTTCCTCTGGCCCCCATCAGACTATTTTCTGTATCTGTGAGTCTGTTTCTGTTTTGTTTATTTTGTTCTTTAGATTCCATATATAAGTGAGATCATGTGGTATTTGTCTTTCTCTGACTGACTTTTTCCACTTAGCATAATACCCTCTGGGTCCCTCTGTGCTATTGCAAATGGTAAGGTTTCATTCCATGTCATGGCTGAGTGATACTCTATTGTATATATGTACCACAGCACTTTTATCCACTTGTCTGTTGATGGGCACTTGGGTTGGTCCCATGGGTTGGTTACTGTAAATAATGCTGCAGTGAACATAGGGGTACATATATTCTTTTTAATTAGTGTTTTAGATTTCTTTTGATATATACCCAGAAGTGAAATAGCTGGGTCATAAGGCAGTTCTAGTTTTAATATTTTGAGGAACCTCAATATTGTTTTCCACAGTGGCTGCATCAATCTACATTCCCACCAACAGTGCACAATGGTTCCCTTACTACCACATCCTTGCCAACAGGTGTTTGTGGACTTATTGATGACAGCCATTCTGACAGGTGTGAGGTGATAGCTCATTGTGGTTTTAATTTGCATTTCTCTGATGATTAGTGAGATTAAGCACCTTTTTTATATCTATTGGTTGTCTGTATGTCCTCTTTGGAGAAGTATCCAGCTACTTTGCTCATTTTTTTCATTGGATAGTTGTTTGTTTGTTTATTTAGTGTTGAGTTTTATAAGTTCTTTATAAATTTTGGATATTAATCCCTTATTAATTGTATCAGTGATGACAATCTCATTCAGTAGGTTGTCATTTCATTTTGTTGATGGTTTCCTTTGCTGTGCAAAAACATTTTAGTTTGGTGTAGTCCCAATTTGTTTATTTTTCTCTTTTGTTTCCTTTGCCCAAGAAGATATACCAGAAAAAAAATATTGCTATGAGAAATAGCCAAGATTTTATGGCCTATGTTTTTTCTAGGAGTTTTATGGTTTTGAGTCTTACATTTAAGTCTTTAATTCCTTTTGAGCTTATTCTTGTGTGTGGTGTAAGAAGATGATCAACTAATAAACCTAACAGGACCCAGGAAATTATACTCTTGACTAGAAGAATGATGGGATATTTTACTGTATATTTTAAGTTAGCAGGCATAGGAACAAATAAAGCTTTAAGAGGTACTTTATCAAGTTAATACTTTTTCAAATATTTTAATTCCAAATTAATACATTTTTCTATGGTTTCAGATACAATGCACATGAAATATATGTCAATGCATGTAAAATACATATAATATTTAAAACATGAAAGGTGGCCATAACTTAAATATTGTTTTATAATTTATTTTTATCCCTAAAATATATATTTGAAATAATTCTTTTCACCTATCTATATTTAAAATGCTATGATATTCGAACACAAAATCGGCTATAGAGTGGAAATTAAATTTCTTTTCAACCCCCCATCATCGCTACTTTCCAGAATTATGTTCACTGATTTTTTTTCATATCCTTCCATCAATTCTCTGTATATGCCAATGTGCTTTTTCTTTGTTCTTTACAAGGCCATATTCTTCTGCAACTTTATTTTTAGTAGTATTATTTCCGCATATTTGCATATCAGTGCATAAATATTTACATCAATCTTTTAAATATAGATAATATCTAGTTATTTTTCAAGCACCATATTTTTTGGACTATAAGACACACTCCCCCAAAATTTGCGTCTTATAGTATGAATGTAACTTACCTGGCTTGCTGTGGGGCGTGGAGGGCAGTGGTAGGGCAGGGTCACAGGAGGCAGCAGCAGGGTCGCCACTGCATTTTCTTCCCAAATTTGGGGGGCAGGGGAAAATGCATCTTATAGTCCAAAAATATGGTATATCTTATTGATTATGCTGTTATAATTTTCCTAAATTATCCCCCCTCTGCCTTGCACCCCCAAACCCTCCAGCATTCCCCACTTTAGTTCATGTCCATGTGTTGTACATGTAAGTTCTTTGACTTCTTTCCTATACCATTCCTAACCTCTCACCTTTTATTTTATGCCTACCAATTATACTTCTTATTCCCTGTACCTTTCCTTCCCCTTTATTCCCTTCCCCCTCCCCACTGATAACCCTCCATGTCATCTCCATTTCTCTGATTCTGTTCCTGTTCTAGTTGTTTGCTTAGTTCTTTTTTTAATTTTTATTTATTTATTTTTTAATTTCATTATTGTTCAAGTACAGTTTTCTGTCTTTTACTGCCATCCAGCCCATCCCCAGTGCTCCCCACCTCCCTCCCATTTCTACCCCCTTTAGTTGTTGTCCACGTGTCCTTTATACTAGTTTCTGTACATCCTTCCCTTTTTTCCCCTGAAATTCCCTCCCCTCTTCCCTCTGGTCACTGTCCCCTCTGCTTAGTTTTTTAATGGTTGCATAACATTACAACATAGGGAAATTTTATAATTAATTAGCCCTTCTTCTAGTAGGTATTTAGATTGTTTTCAGTCCTTTGTGATTACAAAAATGTTACAACAAATGTGTGTGTGTGTGTATCATTATGTATATGATAGAGTATATGTGTAGGAATTGCTGGATCAAGAGTATAAATATTCTTGACATTGAAAATAACTTGAACCATACTTTATTTTTGTGAATAATCATTGAGAATTGCATAGCAACAAACCTAATTTTATCAAGAATTGAAGTAAGGCACAAAATGGGAACCAGTGAGTCTTTTAAGAAAGGTAGAATATATTAAACGTTAACAGGGTGGGAGTTTAGTGAGGAAAAAAGACATATGGGAGATAATTTGCCCCTGACCCAAGCCCACAGCCATAGGACTCACTTAAAAGTCAACGACAGAATGGACAAACAACTTAAACAAAACTACAGCCAGTGTCACAAACAAATTATGATACAATGGAATTAAATCACCCATTTACAATACTGAGTAAAATATTTCACTTAAATTTCTTAAAATTTGAAATTGTCTTCAGGTTTAGGCCACACTTACTCTGAAAAGCCATCATCCTTGAGTCATGCTGTTCTAAGAATTGAGTTTTTCTTCTAATGGAGAATTGTTGATCATTTAAGTCTGTACCTACTGCTGATAGTGATTCTTAGTCTAACACCCAGTAATGAGAGCATCAGAATCTCTTATAAATGAGGCAGTGGATACTCGCTGTATTAATGGGCTCTAAAAATAATTTAATTTAGAGAGGAACAAATAAAATTTCTTCTTTACAGAAAGAAAATTAGTAACTTGGTTCTTTGCTACTTAGCTACACCATGCATCAAAATATAATCTTTCTTTGCCATAATATAAGAATATTACTAATGTTAAGAGAATAGGAGACCTGGTGGAAATCTAGATACCTGAATGATCTCTGCCTTTGTGTATAATCATAGCTAACATAAGAGTGCTTATTATGTACTTGCTGCATTGTAATGCCCAATTTGTATTATTCCATTTACCAGTCATAACAACATTATGAGGTGAATGTTTCAATAAGCATGATTTCACTGGTTGGGAATTGGAAGTGTGGAAATGCTAAGCAAGATAGACAACTGGAAGTAGCCGAGCCAGGATTCAACCCAGGTAACATGGTTACAGAGTCTTTATCTTTAATCATTTTACTAGAGCTGGAGCTTCCTTTGGTTCTGAATTTGTGCACCCCACACCTTCACGTCTTTCTGCTTTCCCCCACTTTGGAGCGCAGTCTTAGTTGGTCAGAACTTTTTCCTGGCCATTCGGAAAAGGAGCTGGACAAGGACAGCTATTTTTGTGCATGTATCATTTGTAAGACTGGTGTCTTAACCTGTCTTGCCTTTCAGCATGCCTTGTACCTCTTTGCCGAAAGCCAGGTATGGCATTCCTGTCCTTCCAAAGATAGGAACTGAGGCAATCTGAGTTTTAGTGTGAGGTACTATGTTAGTGTGGCTGGGAGCTGGGCTGCGTTTAATGTGCACTACGGTTGTGCCAGAGGCTTCAGTTTCCTCTGGGTTGTGTGTGTGTGTTTGTGTGTGATTCTGGGGGGGGGGTTTCCTCCTCTGCTATATTTAGGTTTCCCAGAAGCAACCTCCTAAGTAGAGTATATCTTGCTGTTCTTGCAGTTGTAATCCACTGTTACTATCCTGGAGCTCTGTTGATTGGTGGTAAGGCATTGGGGAGGGGAAGCGTTCTACAATTTTATGATGAAATCTTTACCTCTACTCATAGAAAACCGTACTTCTATACACTGTAGACAAGATAGTCTAATGGAAGGGACAAGAATGCCCAGTCAGGCATACAGAATGTGGTGGTGCCTGGCGGGCCTGGCGGGCCTGACTCTACTCAGTGGACATAGCAGTGCCCAGGGGATGTAGGGCGATAACCACCAGTGCAGAGGGCACAAGAACAAAAAGATGGAAACCATACGTGATGATGAATTATCTTCACTTACACTTACTCTTTGGTAAAAGTTAACCAGATCTGTTAATTCTTGTGATGCCACCCTTGGGAACTCCCAGAGACCCATGGGACAGGTTCATGGAGACTATGATGTTGTGTTAGCAAGTAACAGAAAGATCCACTGAGATCAAGATCAGTCTACATAAGTATAGGTAAGCTTTGTATTTTAGTATTATAAACCATCGCCTTTAAAATAAAAGCTATTAAATATTCTCTATTTTTGCCTGGATATTTTTGCTATCTGAAAGTTCCTATTTGCCATTAATTCAGTACTTTGATTTGATCACCTGTCTACAAAGTAGTTTCATTATCTTGATTCAGAGCTCTGAGCAAACTAGTGGACAGCATTGAAGAGAACCAAGGATATCCACCAAGACTGGAAGTTTTAACTGCGGCCACAGGAAGGGTTGACGTTTTTATCATCGCTCTTCTGATCCTTCTCTAGTCCCATCCATCCTCAGTATTGTTAAAGGTAGTGAATATTTAAAATGTGGTGTTGACAGATAGTGTCTATAACTATGCTTCCTTTCTCCTCCGTGAAAATTTCTATCCTATGTACCAAAATAATTTTATTTTCATGACTGTTGACTTAGGAAGTCAGTGGTTGTGTGTGCTTGCCTGCCCATCAGCCATCACTACCACAGTTCCAAGCTGCACTGACAGACCCTGGGGCACCACAGAGAGCTCACAGAAGCACTGTGAGATATTTTAAATTTTCAGGAGAAACACTGTACCATCTGTTGGATACTAGGTGAACAGCTATTACCAAGTTGTTTGGACCTAATTAATAAAAGGAATAGAAAGGACCTGTTCAATGTTTTTTTGGCCTAGAGAGGCACTATGGAAAAATGACTGAGACACTATTAGCACTGTGAGCAGCCCCACCAGTATGTCTGCCATCTTCCTTAGGAAGGCAATGGAACCTTCACCTGGAATCGTCACAGGCAGCTAAGAGGGGTCCGTCAAGATGGGCATGCTGGCTGTGGGAGACCAGCACGCACCTCTGTATTACTCCCTCCCCAGTATCTCTTATCTCTCTTTGGGGATCCCCATGGACCTGAAACATTGAATTCACCCCCAGAATTATTGGATGGAGTACATAATAAGCTAAGGTAATCAATGCAGTCTATTCCTGGCTTTGTTAAAAGGTGAACATGTATCCCAAGTCAGCCCAATCACAGTAAATCTCAGGTCTTAAACAATTTCAAAATAAAAATCAATCTCTCTCTCTGACTAATTATATAGTCACTAGAAATGTGACAACTTGTCTTTTTACCACAGTGAGAGTCAGCTTTAAATGAAGTTGACACTGAAGAACATAGAATGGAAGGACCAAAAGAAATCAGGTCCTTGGTAAGATTCATAAGCCCTGGGTCAAGCCCTGGCTGAAACCTATTACTTTTTTAAAAAATATTTTATTTATTTTTAGAGAGAGGGGAAGGGAAGGAGAAAGAGTGGGAGAGAAACATCAATGTGTGGTTGCCTCTTACGTGGCCCCCACTGGAGACCTGGCCCACAACCCAGGCATCTGCCGTGACCCTTTGCTTCACAGGCCCGTGCTCAGTCCACTGAGCTACACCAGCCAGGGCTAAAACCTACTACTTTTTATCATTTATGAATATCCACTAAATATTGTTTATATTAGTTCCTATCAGTTTTCTTTTTATTTTTATTTCACAATTTTTATATATTCTGGTTATTAATCAGATATAGATTTCAAAAATGTTTAAACTTTTCTTGAATTATTGCCTTTATTAGGATCTCCAATACAATGTTGAATAGAAATGGAACTATTGCGCATTCTTGTCTCATTCTCAATCTCAGGGAGAGAACTATCAATAATTCACCATTAACTTTTATGCTTGCTATAAGTTTTGCTTTTGTAGATACTCATTCATCAGATTAATGAAATTCCTCTTTGTTCCTTGTTGCTAAGAGTTTAGATCATGGAGTGTAGGATTTTGTCTGTTGGGGAAGCCATTTCTGGATCTGCTACCCTTCTCCTGGATATCCCAATGGGTGCCGCTGACCTGGAATTTTCCCCTAAATGGAATCTGGGTCCCGAGCTATCATTTGGCCCCAGACTCTTGCCTTATTAGAGAAACTGTTCCCCCTGTTCTGGATGTGCAGTGAACTTCCTCATATTGCTAATATTTGATATGGCACCTGGCAGCACCACCAGTATATCTGCTGCCATCCTTGGGAAGAAGTGGAATCTTCACCTGGAATTTTCACCGGCAGCATGAGAGGAGTCTATCAAGATGAACAGGCTGGCTGTGGGAGACCAGCATGCACTGGAGATGATGATCTTGTTATATATTTTCTTTCTGTGAGTTCTACCCACTGCCATTGTTCCACACAATGCCTATTGTGTTTGGGTCCTTCTTGGTGATTTCCAGCCCATGAAAGGTGCAGTGGGCTGACCTCTGTGGGCTCCTACTTCTGGTAGTTGACACTGTGATGATCTTGGCCATCTTTCCCTCTGTGAGAACCAATGCTCACTTGGGATTGATAGCTGGATCTTACTGCTAAACCTTATCGGATGTTTTTTTATGCATCTGTTGAAATGACAATACCATTTTCCTTTTTTGTGTTCATGAGGTAAATTATATGAATTGATTTTCAAATATTACAATATTTTTGTATCCTATAATAAACTTTGCTTAATTATAAATCTATTATTGTTTTTATACATAGTTGTATTTGACTTGCTATTATGCATTTAGGAATTTTGCCTCTATGTTTAAGAGACAGATTGGATATAATCCTAGTAGTGGAATTGCTGGATCAAAAGGCAGATCCATTTTTACTTTTCTGAGGAAATTCCACACAGTTTTCCATAGTGGTTGTACCAGTCTGTATTCCCACCATCAGTGCACTAGGGATCCCTTTTCTCCACAATCTCTCCAACACTTGTTGCTTTGTTTATGATGGACATTCTGACCAGTGTGAAGTGGTATCTCATTGTGGTTTTAATTTGCATCTCTCTGATAGCTAGTGATACTGAGCATCTTTTCATGTGTCTCTGGATCTGCTGTATGTCCTCTTGGAGAACCCTGAAACACCAATCCAAAAGAACCTATGCACCCCAATATTCATAGCAGCACAATTTATAATAGCCAAGAGCTGAAAGCAAGCTAGGTGCCCATCAGTAAATGAATGAATCAAAAAACTATGGTATATTTACACAATAGAATTATATGCAGCTAGAAAGAAAGAAGAAGCTACTACCCTTTGGAACAGCATGGATGGAACTGGAAAGCATTATGCTGAGTGAAATAAACCAGGCAGTGAAAAACAAATAACGTATAATCTCACCTTTAACAGGAATCTAATAAACAAATAAACAAACAAGAAAAATAAAACCAAAGACACTGAAATTGAGAACAGTCTGACAATGACCAGAGGGGAAAGGGCAGGGAATTTCAGGGGAAGGGGGTAGGGTTCTCAGAAACTAGTATAAAGGACACATGGACAATAACAAGGGAGGTGGAGATGGGAAGGAGGAGGGGGCGGCTGGGGGTGAGATGGGATGGGGGTAAAGGGCAGAAAACCGTACTTGAATAACAATAAAAATAAATAAAATAAGAGATTGGTTTGTAATTTCCTAGTACTGCCTTGTCAGATTTTGGAATCAGGATTATCCTAGTCTCATAAAAGAGCTATAATTGCTCCTTCTTTTTCTCTTCTCTAGAAGTACTTGTTTATTGCTGATAATCTTTGAAAGTCTTCTCTGATGAAGCCATCTGGATTTGAAGTCTTTTTCTTGGGAAGGTTTTCAATAATATAATACTATATGTATATATATACACACATATATAAACATATACATAAATTTGACTATTCAGATTTTGTATTTTTTGTCAACTTTAGTAAGCTTCATTTTTTAAAAATTTGTTCATTTCATCCCAACTGCCAAATTTCATGGCACAACATTGTTTAGATTAGTACAGTAATATATTCTTTATGTTTGTAAACTCTGTGGTTATGTTTGTTTTTAATTTCTAACTTTGTAACTTGAGTATGCTCTCTTTTTGTTCATGATTGGTCTTGATAGCTTTTTACCAATTTTTAATTGACTTATACCTTTGTTTTATTATTTTCATCCTTTTACTTTTCTTAAGCTTGATATGCTTTTGTTTTTATAGCTTCTTGACATTAAAGTTTAAAATACTCCTTTTCAGCATGTTTTTTTTTCTCATCAGTGCATTTAAGGACATGGTTTCCTAACAAGTGAGGTTTTAGCTGCACCTCATGAGTTTGACATGCTATTTCTTCATTATAATTAAGTTTAAAATATTTTCTATTTCTTTTTGAATTATCTTTTTTCAATGAATCATTTGATAGTGTCTTTTTGTTGTTGTTTGTTTGAAGAGAGTTGGCATTAATACCCATTTCTAGCCAAATTTTACTGTGGTCAAAACATACTCTAAATGATTTCAGGTTTTAAAAATTTGTTGAGGCATTTTATATGATGTAGAATATGGTTTAGTTGGTAAATACTCTAAATACATTTGAAAAGAATATGAATTACCTACTTAATGTGTTCATTAATCCACCTTTGCCATTTGTGTTCTTCAGATTGTCTGTGGTCTCGGAGGCTTGGCTTGCTCAGATCAGCTTGCTCTGTCAGCGACTTAGGTGAGTGTATGAAAATCTCCCCTCACAATTATGATTTGGGCCATTTCTTTTTTAGTGCTATTAATTTCAGCCTTGTGTATTTTAAATGTCCGCCTTTGAATTTATATAGATTTAGAACTTTTATATTTCCGGCTATATTAACCATTTTATTGTGGAAAGTGTTTCTTTGTCTTTGATAATGCTTCTTGTCTGTAAGTCTATTCATCTGATGTTAGTAAACTAAAGCAGCCATCGTGTTCCATATGTTTACTTTCAACCTGTGTTTATATTTCAAATATATCTTTTGCAATTTTGTTTTTGTTTCATTTTTGCCTACTCTGACCACCTTAGATTTTCATGTGAAATATTTAGTACATAACATTTATTGTAACTGGTAACTGTGTTGAGTTTGAATCTATCCTCTTCTTTTTTTTTTAAATTTGACTCATGTGTTTTTATGTTCTTTTTTTCCCTTATGCATTTTGTGAACTGCTGGTCTACTGGCAACAAACCATCTTGATGCCAGTTTTTGTTGATCTGAAAAGTCTTCATATCACTTTTTTGTCAAAAATGACTTCATGTGATTTTTGAAGGACTTTGTGGGGATACAATTCTAGATTGGCAGTTACATTCTTTTAGATCATTAACTGTCATAATACTGTTTTTGGTTGGCATTCTTTCTTTTGGGAAGTTACTAACCTAACAAATTTTTTCTAGCTGCTTCTAAGACTTTTTTATTTCCTTTTTTTTTTTGCATTTTTATTTTGGTGTACCAGGAATATTTCTCCTTTGTATTTTCCCTTCTGGGGTTTACAGAGCTTACTGATACATTTTTTGATGTCTTCTTTTGAAATAGTCATGTTTATTACTTCAAATATTGCTTCCATTTCATTTTCTCTTCTTACTTCTCCTGAGAATCCATTTACATGTTTGTTGGACCTTTTCACTATGTTCTGCAATTGTGTGCTGGAAGATGCATGATTTTTGTATCTTCCACTCAAATTTTGTTCCATTCTTTAGTATTGATGTTTCACATTGACCTGTATTTGGGTTTATTTATCCACTTAATCTCTTATATGTAACCTATGTAACCTATTGTTAAATCCAAATGTGAGTTTTAGTTTCAGTTCATGCCTTTTTAGGTAGTTCATTGTATTTTTGTCCTTCTATTTCATTGAACACATTAATCATAATTATTTCTAAGTTCTTATCTGCTGAGTCCAATAATCAATCATCATATCATATATAGGATTTTTTTAAAAAATCTCCTGAGGACTGGTTGAATGATCCTTTTTTTGGCATGCTAAGTAATTTTAAAATTAATTCTGGACATTAAATATTAAAAATCATAGAGTCTCCAGATCATCTAATCTTTCCCTGGACAGGTTTTACCTTTTTCTGTGCTAGGCAGGTGGAATAAGACTGGCCACCTAAACCCAATCAAGGACTAAGCTTTGCTCACGGAAGGAAAGGGTCCATTTACCTCTCCAGGATGTCACTCTCCAGGGCTTCCAGATGGAGACCGGGTGTGTTTACTGGAGCCTATTCTGTCTAGTCTTTAATTGTATTATTTTTTCTTCTCAATCAGAAATTCAGACCTGATTTTTCCCCTGGTCTTTGTTCTCAGATTCTTAGTTTCCATTTCATGAAGCTTAAGAATTCAGTAAAAATCTTGGGGAATACCTACCGCATGTGAACTCTAGTGCTTCATCTGTCCATGTTAAGACTTTATTAAATTAATATTTGTTAAATGGAACACAGGGTGCCAGATGGTAAGCCACAATTTAATACAAGGCCATAGAGAAATTAAAATAAAGACATTTATTATTTACAGGCCATAGAGGAAGTATGCAACACACTTTAGGTGTCACATGGGGAAGCCAAGGCACAACATGCAAGAGAAAGAGACAGAACCTGGGTGTATGACTTCATTAGAGTGTGGGAGTGGAGTGCTTTGAGGCCCCTGGACTAGGGCCAGCTTGGTCAATTCAAACTAAAAAGTGGGGGTCTTATCTAAGGCACACAAAGGAGAAGGTCCTGGGAGACAAGGGAGACTGTTGGTCACAAGGGCCAATGGGGAAATTATATCAGGACTTTACATTTGCTTGTGACTCTTCAGGAAGTTATCTAGGGCATGTACTTGCTTAAGGGGACTAATGTCAGTTTAAGACCCCCACGAGCCACTTGGCCAAAAAATAAATAAATGGATACTGAGGCAGCAATACCATGGAGTGCCATAGCTAAACTCTTGGAATTCCCTTCACAATTGAATACTAGACCTTTAGACTCTAATTTTGTATCATCAGTACTACAGGATCAGCCAGTACTCTGCTGAGGCCCAGCAGCCCTCTGTCCAGGCATTTTCCTGATTCCAGGACCCAGCACTGGTGAAACTCCCCAGAGAAAAAGCAGCTATGGATTCTCATCTGTTCTCTCCATGGTTGTCCCTTCTTCAGAATCTTCACAATCTTGGACTGGCTTCTTCCTGGTTGCTTCAATAGCTTATTGATGCAATTATATAAGTGTTTGATCTAGCTCATTTTCTATTTTTTTTCTCAGTGATATCATTAATGTACTATTAGATATTCTGTCATATCCTAAAGTGTAAGTTGACTTTTTACATTAAACTTTATAATTGAACCATATATTAAGGAATACAAAGTATCCATGTGTTGCTGAGTGAAGTCAACTACTATTACTTAAACACTAAGCCCTTTATGTCAAATAAGTTATATGGAATATAGAAGGAGTATGGAAATAATTATTACTAAAAGGAAGGTTACGAATTTTTTAACTTAATATTTAACGTTTACACTATTACAGATATCCACATTACCCCCTGCTTTGCCCACCTCAACTCATCCCCATCCCCATTTCCATTCCCTCCCTTCCCCTTCACCACACTCTTGTCTGTGTCTATGGGTTATGCATATACAATATGTTCTTTGGCTAATCCCTTCACCTTTTTCTATGCAGTTCCTACCTTCCCTACCCCTCCGACAGCTGCCAGTTTGTTCCTTGTGTCCATGCCTCTGTTTCTATTTTGTTCATTAGATTCTAGGTATAAGTGAGATCATATGATATTTGTCTTTCACCAACTGGCTTATTTCACATAACATAATAACCTCCAGGTCCATCCATGCTGTTACAAAAGGTAGGAGTTTCTTCTTTTTATGGCCACATAGTATTAAATTGTGTAAAGGTACCACAGATTTTTAAATCACTCATCCTGGGAACTTGGGCTGTTTCCAGATCTTGGCTATTGTAATAATGCTGCTATGAGCATAGAGGTACATCACTATTCTCTTGAATTGGTGTTCCAGGATTCTTAGGCTATATTCCCAGAAACGGGATCACTGGGTGAAAAGGCAGTTCCATTTTTAGTTTTTTAAGGAAACTCTACCAGGGGTGTCCAAGCTTTTGGTGTCTCTGGGCCACACTGGAAAAAGAAGTGTTGTCACATTTGGTGTCTCTGGGTCACACATTAAGTAAACAAACACTAACAAAGACTGATAAACAAGAACAGGTTTTAAGTAAATTTACAATTTTGTGTTCAGCCTCATTCATAGCCATCCTGGGCCACGTGCAGCCCAAGGGCTGTGGGTTGGACATGCCTGTGGACTGTTTCCCACAGTGGCTGCACCAGGTCTGCATTTCAGCCAACAGTGCACTAGGGTTCCCTTTCCTCCGCATCCTTGTCAACACTTGTTGATTTATTGATGGTAGCCATTCTGGCAGGTGTGAGGTGATACCTCATGGTTATTTTAATTTGCATCTCTCTGGTGATTAGTGACATCGAACAGCACTTCATGTGACTTCTGTATGTACTACATACAGATGGCCAATTTCTGTTAGTTCATTATTGGTATATAAAAGTGACATCAATTTCTGAGTATTAATTTTGTATCCTGCTACTTTGCCAAATTCATGATTAGTTCTAGTAGCTTTTGGATAGAGTCTTAGGATTTTCTGTGTACAATATGTCATCTGCAAATAATAACATTTTTACTTTCTTCTTCCCAATTTGGATGCCTTTTATTTCTTGTTGTGTGGTTGCTGTGGCTAGGCCTTACAGTATTATGTTGAATAAGAGTGGTGAAAACAGACATTCTTGTCTTCTTTCTGATCTTGAAACACTTTTAGTTTTTGCCCATTTAGTATGATGTTGGCCATACGTTTTTCGTATATGATCTTTATTATGTTGAGGTATGTTCCCTCTATTCTCACTTTGCTAAGAGTTTTTATCATAAACAGGTACTGGGTTTTATTGAATGCTTCTTCTGCATCTATTGATATGATCATGTGATTTTTATCTTTCATTTTGTTTATGTGGAGTATTAAATTTATTGATTTGTGAATATCATACCAGCCTTGAATTCTGGAACATTTTTAATGTTTATAATCCAAGAAATTGCAAATTATGTAAGAAAACCTTTGCTGTTGGTGGAAGGAGGTGCTACTTGATGTTCAGAAGCTGTGTCATCCCCTCTCTCTTGTGTGATACTGCTTTAGGATTAGGGACAGGGAAACGACTGACCGGTATCAGAAGATAAAGGATTCTGCTGACACATAGGGATAAACCATGTTTCTAATGGTCAGTACTAGAAAAGCAGTATGATAATTTTCTGGCATTGGAAAAGAAAAGCTAAGTAGATAATATCCTACTAAATGGAAACCAAATTGGCAATGAAGGATAAGCAACTGGGATATGGATACTAAGAGTTAAGACTGAGTAATAAAGGCTGGGATAAGCTGTTTCTAGTGCATGTAAACTGCTACAGAAGTGAAGGAAAGATTTTCAGTTTGCTGGGAAGTCTATTATACTTTCCTAGTATAACTGACTCCTGGGCCTCATATCACTTCTATTCTAATATCCCCAAACACATGTTTATATTGCAAGTCAACATAAGACAAGGCTCTGCAACAATCCCAGACCTATTAGCAGAAAAGAAGGAATTGGGGGGTTGGTAAATCATTAGCTCAATGTCCAGTCAGTTCATCTAGTCTCATTCATTTCTATA